GCCCATTCGGGGGTAAGAGCATCGAGATGGAGATTGGCAATGGCAATCTTGTGGGGATAGGCCTGTTGGGAGGAGGAAATAGCATCATGGAAGTGATTTGGGTGGGGGGTGGGGGACGTGATGGACGAAGGCATGGTAGCGGAGGGTTGAGGAGAGCAGATGGAAAAATAAGTAGAGAAAGAGTATGGAAGGAGGGCTGATAGAATAGATATAAGTGTTTGGATTGGCAGTATAGCAGGGGGAGCCCCACTGCTGCAGGTCTGTCTAGAAGCGGGGGCAATGGGGTGATTTAATTGGGTAGTAGAGTACAGATGTTGAGGGCTGTAGGTGGTGATAGATGTGCTGGAGTAGAATAAGCCCCACTCCTACAGGTTTGTCCAGAAGTGGGGGCAGTGGAGTGATTTGATTGGCTAATAGAGCAAAAGCTCACTCTACCCCCAAACCAACGGTACGGAAAAAGGCCTATAATTCCTATATATAACTCTCAATCTATCTTTAATTAACATTATTTTTCTACATTGTATATAATATCAATTTTTATTTATTATATTTCTCTTTAATAGCGTAACTCAATTTTAACTTTAATTGTTATATTCTATAACTTTAATCTATCTTACTTTAATACTTCTTCATAAAACTTGAATATATAATATAACCCTCGACACATCCCGCTTACCTGCATCCCTCCCCAATTTCGCTCCATTATTCCCCATACTCGATATAATTCCTCTCTCTTCATCTCTTTTCCTTCCCCTATCTTTCTGCCCTCATCATCCTCCAACAACTTCCTCATAATACTATCAAATGCCTCTTTATGTGATACTATCATGCTTCCATATATCTTTGCCATCAATCCATCATACTGACAATTCACTCCTTTCTTCAATCGAAATACCCCATTATCTAACTCTTCCTCGATCCATCGCATACATATCTTCTGCGGCATTCCACACCAATAACATGCCGAACCCGTAGCAAACGATCCTTCTTTTCTCATCCAATTACGAATCCAACTCGACTGCCCCAACCATGCATTCCAACCCTCCTTTCCCTCTACTACACAACCTTCGCCTCTCTCTTGATGATTACTATCCCGTCCTGCCATCTGACATGCAATACATATCTTGCTCCAATTTTGAATAAATGCCTTAAATTCCGACCCCTCTCGTGCACTTTCCTTAATCCGTTCTTGCTCTTTCCATAATGCATGCTCTCGCCTGGCATCCATATCGGTTATAATCTTTTCCATCGCTGCCTGCGCTCTGTCCTCCCCTCCATCTTCGCTCTCTTCTGCGTTCTCTCTATACCACACCTCACATACATCACATATCGCCTCCTTTATCATACAACCATCCTCTCGCTCAATACCATCCATTGCTTTATCCAACACATACCTCCGACATACTCGTCCGCTTATAAATAATAACATCTCGTCCTCCCGCTGATATGTTTCTCGCTGCGGCCGCTGTTGTATATTCGTTGTATGCTGAGTTCTCTCAACCGCTTCATCTCCTATGTCTATGCTATCTCCTTTATTGTCTATGCTAGCCGTTGTGTTTTGCACTCGCTTGCATATGATAATCGACTGCCTGGCTAATCCATCTCGCCCTAATCGGCCACTCTCTTGCGCAAATGCTCGGATCTGCCATGGGATCCCTATATGGATAACTAATCGCACATTGGGAATATTAATCCCCAATCCCAATGCATTGGTTGCAATGATAATTCGATCCTTTTGCATCCATGTCTGCATCTTCTGCGCCTTCTGTTTTCTTGTCCCGGCTTTGCTATAATATGCCTCCACCTTCAACCTCTCGGCCATGCTGTTTACACGCTCGATCAACCCCGCGTAAATAATAACCAATCCCTCTTCGTTCTCGCGAACATATGTTTCTGCATATTCCGCTGCAAATTCTTCTTCTGCTTCTTGCTGTGCCATGTAATCGTCCCCTGTGTCTAACTCGCCTTCCACAAACCATACCCGATACTCAATATTCCGCCGCGTGGTGCGTTCTCGGTATACACTGGTCTCGTCTGGTAAAATACGCGATCGTCTGTAAAATTCGTCCATATCGCTTGGTCGTAACGTTGCTGTCAAAAACACTCGCTGCACCCCCCATAATTCAATCTCACGACCCATATCTCGTAATGCTGGCCGATACTTGTTGGTCCCGTCTAATATTGTATGACACTCATCCACCACAACGCGGTCTAATATCAACTGATTCCGCATCCAATTGATGAAATGCTGGAATGTCTTGGTGAATATCGACTCTGGTGTCACCAAAATAATGTTCCCGCTCGGGTTGCTCTCTGCGCTGCTCCAAATGCTCGCTCTGATCCCCATATTGCTGCATTCTTTCTGCAAATCCGCTTGTAACGCCGTCAATGGCACAATTACAACCGTTCGGCCCTGCTTGCTGCATTTGCCTGGTAACATAAACGACATGCTCTTACCGCCTCCCGTCGGTGTAATCTGCAATATTGGGCTCTCTCCGCGCATAATAGCTGATATAACTGCCCGCTGCTGTCCGCGGAACGTGGCACCCTCGCCTTTTATGCTCTGCAATACGCTGCCTATATCGACCTGCCGTAACATTTGCAATCGCCGTAACCGCGTCTCTTGCCATTCGTTCTCGTATTTGTTTGTCTTTCGCCGCTTCTGCCCAATCGACTGCAACATATTGCTGTACTGTATCTCTTGTCCAAAACTAAAAAATGCGTGCCATTCGTTGCTTACGACTCGAAACTTCTCTCGCATCAACGCTGTCCCACCTAATCCCTGCTGCATCTCGCGTGCATATATCATACCTGCGACTTGCGTTGTATGGCCTGCTTGCAAATCTTGTGGTCGGCTAACATCGTCGACTTCTTCGTCATCTTCATCACCTTCTCCATCATATGACGAATCGACCTTGACGCCCAAATATCGGTTAGCTATTGCAATCGCCATTTGCCGCCAATTGCTGATACCTATTCGACAACCCAACAACCGTTCGCTGTGCTGCTGCATAATCCGCCGCATGCGATCGGATGTCCATTTTCGCTCTTGAAATATCGCTCTTTCTTGCTTCGTTGGCTTGTCATCGCATGGTATGTCGTCCTCATTGTCGACATCTATACCCGAATCATAATCCCTTTCCTTGGTCTTGCTCGGCCGCGTTGATATCTCGCTTGCCCATATAAATGCGCTGCGATATGTTACTTCTTTTATCGTGCCCTGGATGCTCTGCCAAAATGGCAATACCAACCATAAATACCACACCAACAACTCTCCTATCTCCACCGGCATGAATCGATGGATAATCTTGGCCTGATTATTCTGTTGGAAATTCTTGTGGTATGCGGTGACAAAACAAACCTGCCCTTGGTTGATGAATATATTCCGCGTTCCTCCATTTGGCGTATTCTCGTGCCGGATTGTTAATATCTCGGTTGCTCTCGCTGGCTGGCCTGCTACTATATGCATCAACAACAACAATTTTTCTCGAAATACATCAATCAACTCGCCATATGCCACGGCTGTGTTGTGTATAAATGGTTGTGTGGTGCTTTGTCTGCGATTAATCCATGCTCTACTCCTGCTCTCGCTGCCAACCAACTTCCGCCGAATATAATGCACCCCTATCTTCATCCATGGCTCATTGCGGTCATCCTTTAAAAACGAATATCCAACCATGTCGCGGCTGTTATCATCTTCAACCTTATCCCATGGTATACTTGGCAATTGTGCAATATCATCGCTATCCGTCATGGCCAATTCCATTATAATACTGCGTGCCTCGTTTAATATGGCATGCATGAATCCGCTGATCTCAATCATGGACAAACGGATCCTCTGTATTATAATCGTATTGCCTACCCAATCTATGGTGGCGCCGGCCGTCGTTGTAAATCGAATTTTCATGCCATATGTGCGTGTCTCTAAAATCCAATCCATTGGCGTTGGGAACTGATTTGGCTCGCTGCCAGTTCGTGTCATAAACCGCCGTGTATATTCCTGTACACGTGTAAACATGGTTGTGCCCGCATTTCTTGCTTGCTGCTTAGATAATGATTTATCCTTACGGATGCGGTATATCTCGGCCTGCCGCTCGCTATATGCGCAATACAAAACCAATATACGGGAAACCTTGATGACGGCGGAATATATTGGCGTATAATCCAATGCTGAATGCCAACCGCCGTCATCCCGAACGCCTAATATAGCCAATACGCTGATTAACACGCTGTCGTACTGGTGGTCGCCTAATCGGTGGTCTAACATGGCCATGATAAACCGCAAACATGCCTTATCAATATTTCTCTGCTGCTGGTTCAATTGACTGCTGGCTTCAAAATGCGTACGGCTGCTCTCCCATCCGTTGGCATGGCTATCTGCATGGCTTTGTTGTATATCGCTGCGGCTGATATCACTCGCGCTATCCTGTGCGATACTGCTACTGCTGCTACTGCTGCTACTGCTGCTGCTGCTGCTGCTGCTGCTGTCGCTGTCGCTGTCGCTGTCACTGCCATGTCTCTCTATACGACGCTTATATCGTATATGCATGCGAATCCTTCGTGTAAATGCGCGCCACCATCGCTCCTGCTCTGCTGTAAATGCGTATGGCGGCCGGTCCTCCTCATCGCGCTGCTGCGTGCGAAATATAATACAAAATATCTTGCATATTATTTCGCGATACCGTATCCATGAATCATCTTCCATGCGGGCCTCGAATGGTTTCCTTGGTTTTGTCCCTATCTCCCTGCGATTAATCTCGAACATGGCGGCCAATCCAATAACATGCATACGGCATGTTGTATATGCCTCCTGCGTCACCCGCTGCACGCTTTGGCATATCTCATCTAATTCGTCTTCGCCTTCGCCTGGCCCGTCTTTCATGTTCTGTAAATCCTCCACTTGCATTCCTTCTAAATGGACGGTCCAACCGACTCGATGTAACCACGAATACGCCTCGTTCTTATTGTCCAATTCTTCAACTCGGCGCATGGCTTCGCCTTGTTCAAAACGCTGTTCCTGCATGCTGGCAACATTCTCCAATAACTTCCATAATTCCTGCGATTCCTGCGGTTCCTGCGATGGCTCCTGCACGTCATTACCGCTCGTCGCTGGTATGCTGTCGTTGATCTGTGCTGTGTTACCCTGTACCTCAAACCAACCGCTGGCTGCGCGCGTGGGAAATAACCTCTGGCAATATATGCCGCTTGTCCACGGTACTGGCTGTTTTTCCTTCGCTTTAGCGCGTACATTACCGCCTTTTCTCCATGGATTTACCCAATTGTGGCGGGTTTTGCAATGCTTCTGCATACATGTAATGTCCCGGACCACATATGGGCACTGGTCGCATCTCAACCCGTCGGCATGGGCGTCCTCCAAATATGGAATCGGTTTGGTGTGCACGGGCAATGTAAATTGCTGTAATTCGGCTTGATTCTGGATTAATCCTGTTAATTTCTGGATTTCTTGCACGATTCTTTGTCGTTCTTTTGGCACGATATGGCTGTGTTTCTTCTGTAAATGGCTATATGCTTCGTCTGCTATACTTAGCCCCAATCTAATGTCTCATATATCTCAACTGGCTCTGTTGATTTGCAGACCTCAAACCATCGTGATGCTCCATGACTTATAAATAGTCGCTGACATTTTATATTATTAATCCACGGTAGTTCCCGTGGGATTGTTGCCTTCAAACGCACATTACCACCCTTTTTATAATCATTGATCCACCCATGCTGTATACGGCAGTGCTTCTGCATACATGTTAGGCTTCGGACTGTGTACTCACACATAGTACAACGTAGCCCATCGCTCTCAGGTGGGAACAAGTAGGGTAGTGCTGGGCTCTCAGCTGGCGGGTATTGAAAGTTTGCCAGATCCGCTTGTGTTTGGGCTAAATATGGTATATTCTTGATTCGTTGTTGAAGTTCTCGACGTTGCTTAGGCGTGTAAGCTTTAATGTGACTAGCATTGCGTAGATGGGTAGGTAGCTCGTCCACAAGAACGCAAATCCGGCATATTCGACAAACAAGCAATCCAATTTCTGGCAAGGTGCTAAATGGGCCGATATGTTGACGTTGGGGCTCTAGCGAGATATTTTGCTCTGGGATAACTGCTGTAGAATTTTGATGCGAAGTGCCAGTA